TCCTTGTCTACTTTCTTCTTCCTTCCTAATACGGCTGTGCCGGTTTCTTTCCACATCTCTTTCAAAAGTCCCAGTGTTCATCCACACAGGTTTCTTCAGGGATGTTGCTCACTGTCTCCCATTTTGTCTTGATGGCTGACGTGAATATGTCATTCGTAGTTTCGTCCTTCAGTTGAGTTTCTGTTCTGGATGTTCAACTTGAACTTGAACTGTGGTCTATCACCAACTTCTTTGAAGATCTTCAACCTGGTTGTGAAGGCAGGTTCATTGCACTAGATAGTGAATGGTGTGAACCTACATCTGCTCCCCTCCTTCATCTAATCTTGTGTCCAGTAGACTGCGTCTCCATTTTCTTGAGACGAAGATAAAGTCGATTTGATTTTTAGTGTGTCCATCTGGTGAAATCGAATCCATGTCGCTTTGTGGATATCCTTGTGCTTGAACACACTGCCTCGCCTCCAATCATCAAATCGTTGAATGTGCAGAATTCTGCAAACAATTCTCCATTCTCGTTCATCACCTCACCTAGCGCTTCTCGACCCATGGTTAGTTCTCTCCCTGTGTTGTCCGCTCCCCGCAGTTTGGCATTCATGTCGCCCCACCCAACAGAATTTCGACATCGCCAACTGGCGTGGGGTCTTGTCCAGTGTTGATTGCAGTTGTCTGTAGAATTCCTCCTTTCTCTCTTGCTCTGCATTATTTGTAGGTGCACAACGTAGCATTGTATGATTGTGACCTTCGTTCCTTTTGAGTTGAACCTTGCTGTCATGAACCTTATGGTGGGAGAGATTGGTTCCCACTGCATGATAGAGAGGCTTCGATGCTGTTGGGGACATCGTGATAGCCACTCGAAAACTCATTGTGGTTGTCGTCTGGGTGACAGTAACGGAGTAGATTATTGACTCTCCAGTTGACAGTTTGGAGAGTTTACTCCCATTCTACCTGCTTTCGCAAATTCCAAGCAGTTCAATGTGATACCTCCTCATCTCTTTTGCAATCTGGGCTGCCTTGCTGGGTTCAAACATGGTGCAGATATTCCATGTCCCCACGTTTACTTTCGCTTTCATCGAGAGAAGACACATTGGCCAACTGGCTTCCCAAAGGCTTTCGCTAACTGGCGTCATTTCACCTCTCCGATTCCAGCGAGGAATAATTTTGCTATTATTTTTTATATTTCGTTTGTGCTTTGAAGTTTCTTTAGCGGTTGAATCGGTTCTACTGAGTTTGATTTCTAGCCCTATGCCCAACCTTCCCTCTTTATCCGGGCTTAGCACTCAGCTAGTGAACTAGTTAACCAGGTGGGGTTAGAACGTGAAGTGGATAGTAATTATGAAAGCAATAATAATAATTTCAGCGAGGATGAGATTGATGGGAACAGTATGGTACTGAAGACATTTAATCACTATAGATCAAAACTTTGGAAAATAAATTTATCATTTGACTGTCTGATGTAGCTGTAGTTTAGCAGACTTGTATTTATACTGGATGATGATTGAAGGTGAGATGAAAACCTGGATCACGTTGGGATTCGAACCAACCACCACCAGTTTCGACTGAAGTGAAATAAAAATATGATCAGTAGTCGGAGCTCATAGCTCAATTGGTAGAGCATCGGGCCGGTAACCCGGTGGTGGCTGGTTCGAAAATAAAGGTTACGTAATAGTATTGTGTGAAATGTATAGATAATCAAAGGATAAACAAATAAACGTGTGTGAAAGGGGGGAAAATACGGAAGAGAATGAAAACTGAAATTATCTTCAAAGTTATTTATTAGGTTTTCTCTGGCCAAGGCAGAGATACAGGTTAAACAAACTCCTTCTGCACACAAAGACTAGGTTTGATATCTCTAATTCCAATAGCCTCATCTATGTGTAATGCGAGTGCGAATTCCATTCGAAAGATTATTTAGAATGTGATAGCTGATTGTAAACGCTTTGGTCTTATCTATTACATGACCACTATCGACCAAATGAAACAAGATCGGACTTCGTATTGACTTCATTTGTCCCCTTCCTAGCCATGACAATAGGTGTTCAGAAACACCTTTATTAAGCTGCCTAGTTGTACGCCCAATAGAGCTTTCCTCACAGAAGCAGCGGAATTGATAAATGAGTACAGAAGCTGCAGAGCTGGGCAGCTTGTCTTTTGTCTGGGTAACAATAATCGGCCGACTAGAAAATGACAATCAAAGGTCAGCGGCATAGAAAGTTCTTCTGATGTCTGTTGACAGCCTGTGGAATAGGACTTTACTAGGTGCATCTCCTTTAAATTGGAGCTTCACAAATTATGATTTTTTTTTGAACAGTCATTTGCTCAGATTTCTTACTCATTTTATTCATGTATCTCTTCATAAATTTATAGAAGCAACCCCCTTTTTATCAGCATATTATGAGTGTGTTCTAACTCCTTGTGTTTCAAATCATCGGAGCAGATTTTCTAGCCCAGTTTGCAAGACATTCAATTTAACTTCTTTTATACCAAGTGGAAGTGTATGTGCTGGCTCGTAGATGTGATCTTTCTGTACACCGTTCTACTGAGTGACTCATCATCCCTTCTAAGCAATAAGACATATAGAAAATGTACCATATATCTTGTTCTTCACAGGTAAAAGTGAGGGGGGACGTTTATCAATGGATTTTCTTCAGAATTTGTTTTGTCAACGTTTTGACCAAAGACAACAAAAGTATCGTCAATGTAACGTTCATACATATCCAAATTATCGATGAAATCTTTAAGTGGTCAATTCTGAAGTTTGGCAAGAAAAATACCAGTTAAAGTTGGGCCTAATGGTGAACCCATTGAAATTCCATCAATTTGTTTGTAATATGTATCATTAAAGAGAAAATGCTTATTTATGGCGGATCATAGAAGTAATTGTTTAAGACTGTCTTCTGGAAGTCCAACATTATTCAGTTTTATGATATTTGCTAGCGAATGAAGTCTATTGTTTAGAGAAATGATACATTGATGAGTGAAGAAGAAACATCTAAAGACATCATATATTTCTTATTCATATTCACCTTTACTAGCTTAAAGATGAAGTCAAATACATTTTCAACACTATTCTTAATAACTTGCTTGTGTAGGGGTAGTAGAATTACGATTAGTAACTTCGTGATTTTATTATCAGGGGAAGTTGCGGAACCTAAGGTGGCCCATATGACCTTAGTGTGTAACAACATGTGAGCTTAATTCCCACACACGTAGTCACAGAAATTATACTCTCTTGTCTGAGTTTTTTTAAGACTGTTTGTCAATTGTTTTTCCGCTACTCCATTTCAATCTGCACAATGACAAAGTTTTGATACTTCGTTTGGTCATTCAGTAACGAGTTCATTTTGTCAATTTATTCGCTCTTATTCATTAACACTATACTCTCTCCGTTATCTGGATTACTTCTTCTGGTCTGTTTCATCTTTCTCTACTGTTCTTGAGGCGTTTGTATGTTGTTTAGTCAACAAACCTTCAGCAGAATAACTACTATTTGTGCAACATTAGCAGCTACTGACTAACGTTTCTTTGAATCTAGCAACTTCATCTGCGGATGACGGAATACAGTCATTTATTTGTGAAATTAAGTTCTCAAATTGGACATTTGTGTTAAGTTGATTGACATTATGTTAGAAATCACAGATTTAGGGCCGAGCGATAAATTTTCTAATGGAAACTTTTCTAGTTGTATGCATACATACCGATTGGGGTTTGAAGGGGATTTCCTTTCTGATTTTCAGTTTTCTAATGACTTGACTAGTTTCAGGCTTCTCTTCTCAGCTCTGTTTTTGGAGATTCCATCTACATAATCAAGAAAGCTACACATTACTTCCTGTGGTAGATTATCAACGGTGAATTTATTTGTGATAAATTCCTCTCTAAGTCAAAGATGTACAATTTTATCGAATCAATTTGATTAAGAGTATGTCATGCAGTGTTTCAGAACTGGAGTTAACCTTGAAATGGTGAGGAATATTTGTAGCTCAGGTGTATGGTCTTGGTTGTATTGTGTTCTCTGAGCTGGGTTGTTTAATAGCATAGCTTACATTGTCTTTCTAGACAGTGCCATCATCCACAGCAATAACTTCAGTATTAAGTGAGCTGTCAATATTTCTCCGTAAGTGATTCAGTAGCTTGTTCAGACTAACTGGTTGTTTCCTTTGATTGTTGTATCATTGATTGTATAGATTTTCCTGTTAGCTGTTCTTTTACTCGACTTCTGACGTTTTTGTCGTTTATCATTTTTCTCACTGATTTATATATTTTGTTTATGTCTACTCATCTGTTGATTTCTGACTGACTGTTCTGAATGTCTAGTTTCTGGGAATTCTGTGATATTCTTTGTATTTGCTATGTCCAAAATTTCTATATTGACGAAATCGAATTCATGTCCATAATTATCCACGTGCATTGAAATGAGTAATGAAATGTCACATGTGACGTTTAATAGCTAATTGGTGTTCATGTAGACAAAGGCGAAGAGGGCGACCACTTTGTCTAATATAGTGTTGACTACAGTTATTGCAGCTGATTCTGTAAGTGGTATTCGGTTTGTCTTCTTTGGTTGTTGCATCCTTTAGTCTGCATAATAGTGTTTGGAGTGGATTTATTGGTTAACGAGTGGCCACACCAATTTCAAGCGGTCTCAGTAATCTTGTCGTGATTTTTAATATATTCTTTATGTATGGAAGGATGATGCGTTTATTGATTTCTATCAATGACTTTGTAGTTGATGATGAATGGAATAGGCATCTTCTGATAAAGTTTTGTGGGTAGCCGTTCTTCTTTAAGGTGGACATCAAATAATTTTCCTCAATGTTTTCTCGCTCTTTTTAATACACTCTGCACGCAACTGGTTTTGTGAGTTGTTGGGTTGTTGCTACTGTAGTTGAGGATTTGATGTCGTTGAAAAAGTTGTTAATCAAACTGTAGGTGCTTTCGATATCATCTTTTTTAAACCTTGTTACAACACATACTTCCAATGTAATTCCAGATATCCTTTGAATTTTATGCATTCATTATTGAATCACACAGACGTTTTTGCTTCCGTAAGTCTAGCATTATACTTCAGGAAATCACTGAGTCCGTTCAATGTAATAAGGTCCCCATATGATTTAATGATGCTGAAAGTTCCCATTGTCAAAACTAGAAGATACATGCGCGAACAATATTGTTTTCAATTAGCTCTCATCAAGCTTAAGTCTAATATACATAAATTTCCTCACATATATGTAAACATTAAACAAATCATGGTGAATTCTTGAGTCTGTGGTAACTAGGAAATGAAGCATGCAAATAGCAGATACCTAGAATTATCCAATATTTCCATTTTCAATGCTCTGAATTTTACTTTTTCTCACTGACGTCCAAACTGCTTTCAAAAAGATCTGCAGAAACTACTGCAATCTGTTTCTCAGTAGCAAGACTTATCGAAAACTAGCCAAGTTGATCTGCAGAATTTTATAACTAGATTTAGAAAATGATGTAAAAACTGGTAATTTATAGCTGAACTTAACAGCCATTTTACACACGTTTCGGGAATGAATTTACCAATTGAGAAAGAAGCTTGGATTTTTCAGTATTAATTATCATTGTGACAAAGCATAAAATGTTACGCACATATTTTATAGTTTTTTTGATCCACTAGCTACCAGGAGGCTTAAACAAGTTATTATCACTTTAAGGCTTGCTTGGTGAATTTGATTTTGGGCTCAAGGTTATTGTGTCATTAATTTTCTCGCTTTCTCATTCTGTACCGTTGTGTTGCTCTTCTCATTCCACTAAGATTCATATTCATACTCCTTAACCTAATAGCTTTTTAAATATGAGCGATTACGAAGAGCACATATGCGATCAGAATGTTAGAAATGTGTTGTGCAAAGATATTACACAACCTAAACTAGTTAAGTCATCCTATCGTTTCGATGAAACTGTATGTCATCATCAAATGTGTTTATATTTATGTTGTTGAGACAAAATTCTTTAAGCGAAGCCACAGTGTACCTACGACTCCGTTTCCTTTTCTTAAAGCAACCTTGGACGATCGCTGACCACCCCCCACTATTTGTATTACATTAAACAAATGAAGGTAATTAGTTTAAAGCATGATATTTCCAACAAAAATAACTATAATTGGATGTCAAAAGCATAATGCAATTTCGTATTTGGTAACTGCTTTTCCCCCAGAAGGTTCGGAAGGAAGGAAAGGTACATACTGATCGACTAGGAGAAGAGCTACTTTGTAAAACTCCCAAAGAAGGGAGACCTACATCTTTGCAAGAACAAGAACTGGCGTGGAATCATGCTCTTTTCCATCCCAAGCCAAATATTATGCCACATCATACTGAAGAGACTATAGGATGCTCTTGATTCAAAATTACGACCGGAACAGGCTGACTGAGTGGCTTTAAGAAGAACAAACCATGTGTGGATTAAATTACAACGCTACACTACGCATCATCATACAACAGATCATGGAATGGTAGTGAACCCTCTACCTCAACTTCACCGACTTTGAAAAGGGCATTCGACAGCGCCGACCGAGAATTAATGTGGCAGGCAGTTGCTGCAACACCACGGTTTCAGTGCCACAAACCTTTATCAACCTCATTCAACAACTGTATGAAGACGCCACATGCCAAGCGATTCACAATGGAAAGCTCAGTGACGCCTTCTAAGTGAAAGCAGTAGTAAGACAAGGCTGCCGCTTACTATCACCGATGATCTTCTTGATTGTGGTTGACTGGACTGGGTTGGATCATACAAGAAACTATGAGGAGTGAGAAGATGAGCATATGCTGACTAGACCCATGAAAAGGCCTCAGAAGAAGATTTCCATTTGGACGATGATCACTTATATCTAGTGTCTTGTCACACAAACTCAAAGGTGTACAGGTGAAAACTGACAAGTTGGCAGAACAGGCAGAGGAAACGGGACTTCAAGTGAATGTAGAGAAGACAGAAGTGATGAAGATACCCAACAAACAAACAACAACAGCAACAACAAGCACCAATCACCATCAACGGGATAAACCTAAACAAAAGTTGTCTCTTTCAACTACCCACCTACCTAGGCAGCATCGTTTCAACTACAGGCGGCACAGACGAGGATGTCAAAACCAGGATCGGAAAAGCAAGACAGGCCTTCTTTAACCTGAAACCAACGTGGAGATCTACTGTACTCCACTCAGCACAAAGAACAAGATCCGGATTCTCAACACTAATGCCAGTCAAGTCAGTGCTGCTATATGGTTCAGAAACTTGACGTGTCACGAAAACCATTTCCAACAAACTACAGACATTCATCAACAGCCGCCTACGCTGGCTCGATACTGAAGATCATATGGCCAGAATAATAAGAATAAGCAGCACGAAACTCTGGCTAGCAACAAACCAACCAACAACCTATCACCCAACAAATATGCAGGAGACGAAAGTGGAGATGGACTGGGCATACACTGAGAAGGTCGATTGGGGACATCACGCGTCAGGTCAGACCGGGCTGTCGAGTGGAATCCAAAGGGGAAACGACGAGCTGGGTGTCCGAGGTGGGGGTGACATGGAGGAGATAGTGTAAGGAAGAAATGGAAGCTTGTGTGCAGTCGTGGAGCCAGGCTGAGACGACTGTAGAGAAAAGAGTGTGATGGAGGCGGGCTACTGAAGCGGTATTTGCGCTAGGAACCCAAGGGAGTAATGATAAGAATATATTTAATGTTGTGATCGAGGTTTGTCTCGATAGATGCACTTACGGAACTCACCAGTGGATCATATGCAAAATTCCTAATTTCACGTACTCTGTCTTTCTCTCTACCTTAATAATATCTTCTGTACTCAGCCAAAGCATTAGCTTTGAATATTTTTTTAGCAGTTTACATAATACTCGTGCAATACATTTCGAACAATATGATCACATATTCACCTGTCAAAACGTTTTATATGATTGAGGGGTTAAGATAAATTAAGATACTACACGACTTGTAAAATATGGGGACGATAAGAAAGAATAATACATTTTCACACCTTCAATGGCATTGAAATGAGATAAAGACAGCCAAGTTATTTTTAAGGTAGGAACGAATTGCTTTTGAATGCACGAAGAGGGTTTGAACTTTTGTAGAGCTAAGACTTCAATTAACCTAAGTATGAGGTCTTGACGAATGCTATAGAATGGTCTAAGGGTCCTTTGTGGTGAATCCTGTGACCTGTTTCTATAATTTACTTGTCTAAAGATGATGATATCTGTCTGCCATGGGCAGTTCTTTTAAAACCATCTTAGCTGATGTCTATATGTCACATATAAAAATTTGGACTGAGGATATTATCAAGTAGGTCCGTCTGCGTACAGATGTGTTGGTGATATCTTAGTTATTTGTAACAAACATGAGGATGCGAAAAATCTTCTAGATCGACTTAGCGCATCGGACCACGTAACATGGTAAAAACGCCTATTTGTTGGATAGAAGATATGAGATCAGAAACTAGACACTAAGAATATCTTATGTTTCAAGGACTACTCACGTAAATTATTGAGTAGCTTAACCAATAATTGTTGAAAAATGACTAATACTGATAAAACGGATGTTAGTAAAGATAATTACAAAGACAATACTGTGAAAAGAGAATTCGAAACATCTATGATGTGTCCATATGCGAAGGGTACTTCAGAGACACTATGTAGAATTCACTTAAGAATAAGCTTTACAGGTTAAAAGATCCTGTTGAGCTAATAAGAGGAAACCATCTAATTTTTCATATCTTTTACTACAATTGTGAGGTCGAATACGCAGGTTAAATTAGTTGACTAAGTTAGAATAACAGAGCACAAAAGCTAGCTAAATTCAGATTTTTAAACCCTAGTAAGATAATGGATCTAGAACATAGCTGGGCTATAACTATGCATGCAATTTCACACAAACACAGATCAGAGTGAGACAAAGAGAATGAAAGCTTGCTGGTGAGATGGAGGAGATTGATTGTTCACTGAATCGACACCAAAAGCATGCAATAGAAATGATTACGCAACTATTCCAGGTGTTTGAAGGAAAGAGAATTAGAAAGACCTATGTGAATCATATTTCAAAGTTGTAGGGTTAAAATGATATGAGTATGGACAGTAAATTGCATTCGAAGGGTAATTTAGTAAATTATACTAATTCCCTATATGACATATCTAATAAACAGACTAAAACGGACTTACAATCGACTGCAGTACCCAAATTTTACGTGTATATTAGTTCTTCATGGATTTAGATTGTAGATTGATTCGAAATTATGTTACATCTTGAATATAAAGGTCTTCTTGAAAATTGAACAGACTGAGTTAATAAATATATACTCTGTCGCATAAATTCTTCTCTGAATAAATTTGAATCAGCTAAGAACATAAATCAACTCAACCTGTATAACTGTCTCGAGAATTGAACAACTTATACAAAATAGTATCAAATGGACAAAAGTACTAAGACTTGTACTTAATTTCTTTTATAAAAGTGTTCTGAAAACGATGAGATGGTACGATGAAAAAATACATAAAACCTTAAGGAGTATTAAAACGACGTCAACAAAAGTAGAGGAAACATTGGAATCGACGGTAACAAAAATTTTTATTAATTTGCCTACCTCATGTTTCACTTAAACCTTGGAACTTAAAGCTTTTTAGAAAAATAACAATAATAGCAAAGATGATACGCCCACTCAAAGTGTTAGTTGTCCTAAATATAAGTGGACAAATACGATTAAAGTCTCTTGTTCACTTGTCCATCTGTTCATTTTATAGGGTGGAAATTATTTCTTGTCTTCACCTAACCTATAGGGACAATTGAAATACTGGATACATTATATATGTATTTATATAAATACCAGTGCATTTCAAAGGTATATATGTGAGTTATTTGAAAAACTCCGGAGCTCGTTAACTTCAAGTATATTCCATTGTAGCAATCAAGTTGAACGTATATCATACGTGAGTGTTCTGCCTATACACTTATTATTTGTTTTTATTCATATCCCTCATATTATTTTATCTCGATAATTAATCAACATTGTACATTTAAACTTGATATGTTACTCTACAATTTAACAAATGAAGGAGAGCATTTTTTAAAAATTTATCAACTGCCCGGAAAGTTTGAATTTAGAAGGTTATGTTCTAGTGAAATCATTTAAGGTCTAACTGATAATTTGAACACAACGTTTACATCACATGAAAGCTTTTCTAAGAAGCAGGTTTCCACGAGTTTATAAGCATTAGTTCGTTTTAAGATCATATTATATATACTTTCAGATGAAGATATATATGTGCTGATGTATTAAAGTGGCCAACTACAAGGTCTTTTATTCATTGAAATAGGTTTCGAAACAAAACTACATGTAGATAATTTATTTGAAGTGTCTTATATTCATAGTGAACTTCTGGCTAGTTGGATTAAGTACTGGGCTTTTAACCAGTACGCCGTGGTTTCCAACACCACTCCATCTATCTAGGTTTGGGCAGCCAGATAGGATAACTAATCCTCTTACATTGGGTGTGACTCATTACCTACTGCACAAATTTGCAAAAGGTTGCTGATTGGATTCTGATTCGGTATATTTTTGCTAATAAGTATTTTGCCACACTAAAATAAGTGTAAAACTTGAGCACGGTGCTAGAATTCAATTCCATATTAGATTTGTTTATTTGATTTATAACACACAGTGATACAGTATTATTTACTTGATGACGTTTGCAGCATAAATTATCACTTCTCATAATCATATCAGCGAAATCACACTCCATTCGACATTTGCTTTTTATAGTCCTGTCACCTCATATTCTTTCTTCCTTTTGGTAGTAAAATTTTCCATATCTCTAGCTTAGGTATTGCGTCATTCATATTACAAGTATTGGCTAGGTGTTGTTTCGATGAACAGAGATTCACTAATGAATCTCTTTCTCTCCACCTAATTATATTGGACTGAAGTGCAATGGCTTTATTCCACCAATTCTATTGTGTGATTGTGTGTTAATGCAGACAATACAATAGCCGAGTGTTTTTCCAGATTATTCATTTCACTGGGGTCTGTCATTCCGTATTTAGCTACATTGCAACAGTCCGCTATTCTGACTGATCCCGACCGGCTAGTTTGACCTATGTACTTGGCCCCACAGCCATTACATGGAATTTGATAAATTAGATTATTTTGCTTAATTGGTTCTATCGGATTCTTAAGCCAGTGGACAAAGCTTATCTCTGAATGAGTTTGTAGGCTTAAATGTCATCCTAATTCCAGCTTTGCTGAGGATTCTACGTAAAGTTTCTTATGTGGTAATATAACCAAAGGTGTGAACTCCTTTCTACTCGTATTGTCGTTATTAGTCGTACTCGTGTTACTGTTACTATTTCATTTCTTGCGTCCTCATACGAATTTCTAAATAAACTGTAATGGACAGTTATTAATTATTAGTGCTTCTTTTATGTGCTTCAATTATTTGTTTATGTGACTAGTGGATTTTCTAGCTCTGTTATCTAGAAACTTGACTAGACCCGCCTTAAGTGATTTGGATGAGATGACTTGAAGTCTAGATACCTGTAAGAATGCATTAGTTTCCTGAAGATGATAAAATCCAAACCACCGTATGTCTTTCGTTTTATCCCTCAATCCCATATAGGTTATTCTTTGTTCGTTTTCTACCTCGTAAGTAAATTGGATTGCGTCTACCACCGAGTTTATATGTATGAGGAAACCGTCTATGTATTCCGATTTCGACACCAGTTGTGTCATCCACATATCGCCACCACATCTTAGGTGCAGAAGTGAACATTTATAACACCATGGTTTCCTAACTATCCATAAAAATATCTGCTACAATTGGAAATATTGGCGACCCCATAGCTACTCCTTCTGTTTGTCTATATTTTTTTTCCGGAAACTTAAAGATTGGGTATATTAGGCACAACTGTCCCCCTAATATGATCTCATCAACCGATATCTTAGTTTTCTAAGTTCTGAGTCTCTATTTAGTTGATTTCTGACTAAATCCAGTGCCATATTGATTGGCATTTTAGTATAAAGGCTCATTACATCAAAACTAACCATTTTTTACACACTCTTCTATGTGTAGGTCATTAAGTCTTAGTTTTAACTCGTAAGAGTTTACTAGTCTAGAATTTGAACGGTTTCTAATCGGACACAACATCGATGCGAAGTACTTTGCTAGTTCATATGTTGGAGTATTTCTGAAGTCAACTATCGATCTAATGGGATAACCTGGTTTATGAACCTTAGTAGTGCCGTAAATTTTGGTAGAATTATTGGTTTAGGCATTAAAGTTAACCTCATACAAACATGCACACATAATCTTTTGATGAACAAAGGATATAAAAACTCAGAGTATTCTCTGTAGGCATCTTTTACTTTACTAAAATATAATTATTTATGCATACAACAAAAGTTAATTACTAGTAGAACTATCATTTTGCCACTCATTTCCCGGTTTAATAATAAAATCTACCACACTAAAACTGAAGATTCTCAATAAGCAAAACATAACAAACATTAAATGTGTAGTACATATTTCTTTATGCACCTCAACGAAAAAAAATTCGAATGCCTACTTTTTTAATGCTTTTGTAATACTCAATAACACCTTGTAGGATCGATTTCTTTGGGTTATTCATGTAAAATGTCTCTAACAAACAAATATTCATTTCATTGACTAGCAAAACGACGTCCGAACTATCGAGGAGACTAACTTGGAATAATAAATGTAACAAACGAGTGAAGGTTTTCAGGAAAATAAATTCACTGATTATAAGCTATTTATGCTTTGTCACGTCTTGTATATTTAACGGCTTTTAGAAAATGTAAATATTGATTTCATACAATCTACTAACTTTTATATAATTAGTAGTAAATACGCATTATAAAAAATTATTATTTGTAGATGACTGCTGAAATTCCCGAATACATAAATGACTTGAATTAGATCTGAAAACCAGAGTAAAAATATCACAAAGCAACTTGACGTAATCACAAAACTGAGTCCACTTAATTCTAAGTAATGTTTGTGATACAGCATGAAATTCTGTGTATAAATTATGCCAAAATTACTCCTTGTATAATCTTTTCATATAAGGCAATTGTACTAATCAACCGTTGATAAATTTTCGTCTAGTCTGTAGGTACGCTGTTGCAACAGCTACTGTGTGAGTTTTTTGTGCGGTAAACGTTATCTAATTACTCAACAAACAAAAATAATGTATTTACACTTAACAATAAAAGACAACCAACAAACGATAGTGATTCACAGAAGGGAGATGAAGTAGTCCAAAACTCGAAAATGAAAAGTGAATGAGTACGGTTTTAAATGCGTTGCATAATTATAGCATCTAAGCAATGTTAGTAATGACAGTATGATAAGCTATATTATGTAAACAGTAGTTGCTATGATATCTTTTTGTTTCTGGATTCATTCTTGCACGACGGAAGGAGCAAACAAAAATCATCTATAAATTTGATGGTGAAGGCTTAGTTAGCCAGTATGAAAACCTGAAGTTCCAGCTAAATAACCTTATAGTATTGGTGTTATTGCTTGTGTTATACGTCACTGATTGGACCAAATTGATCGGTCCCTATTGGCAATATAGGCTCCTAAGTGGATGCCTCAATATTACCTGTTTTTTTAATTATATAATAGTGCTGGATATTTGCTGGCGGTGGAATCCAGGACATGCATATCGTTCTATTCAGGACTCACTCGTCAGCTGGGTGTACCTACCTCCCAGTGAATGGTGTTGTTCCCATCGGGATTCGAACTCGGGATCGATCGTTTCAAACTCCAGAGCCTCATCCGCTAAACAACTTAGCCATGACAGCCAATTGTTCGATGGGCTTGTTTTATACTGCCGTTGGTTGGACCGAATTGATCGATTTTTTGGTATATGGGCTCCTATGAGGTAAACCAATCGGTCCTGAGTTCGAATCCCGGCAGAAACAACATCCTAAATAGGAAGGGATGCGCATTCTGGATTCCGCTGCTAGCCACTATTAATCATTGCTTTAAAACCTTATAGTAGTTATATGATGTACTTTTGCTCACTCAAGAACCTACTCTTATCTACCATGACATTTTCTCATAGTTTAATTATTAACCTGTGAAACAATAGGTTAAAGACATTTTGAAATGTCCGAGATTGTGTACTAGGATTAGTTGATATTCGAATAACTCGAACAAGTTCAAATGCACCAATTTTAAATAATGCATTCAAGGAAAAAGTTTTGGTGAATCGAAATTTAAGCAGGATCCCATTCCTTTTTCAAGAAAACAGTTAAATTATTGAAAGATTCTGTTAGACATTAAGGATTTTCGTTCCTCAGTATTTAGACTTGATAGTAGAGAAGGCGATCTTCCCATCAACACAATAGATGTGATTCACTACATCCAAGGGTTTTAATAGTAATTGGACCCACCATGTTCGACAATAACTTCTTACTTTGATAAACTTTGAACAGTACTAGGTATATATAAAATTTCCACTCCCTCGATGTATTAATTATAAAGTAATACTCTGGAAGTACCAATAAATTTTTGACTTGGAAGTCTGACTAAAGATCCAAGACTAGTTTGAGAATAATAACTTTGAATAGGAAATCAAATTCCCCCCTTAAGTTCTTCAAATTCAAAGGGTTAGTTATAAAGATACTCTAAAAAGAATAATCTTTAACTTTAAATGGGATTGAACTGCTTCCTTCAGTTACAAAATTTAGGGCTATTGAGAAGTCAGTAATACTCAACAACCATATAGTCTTGTGACTGCTGACTGCTTACAAAACTGATCCTGGAAATTTCAAACCATTAAGTAATTGCCTTGTTGGCAAGCCACTGAATAGGAGTACTTACGTATGCAATCTTGACCCCAGTCATATTTTCTATTACAGATGTTATCATCTTATATTATCTAAGTATCTGTCATCACTGGTTGC